CTTCTAGATTCTCAAATTCCACATGTTCCCTGAAGTGAGATGCTGAGCCTTTTTCCTTGTCCATGTTCCTATTCACAATAGCTCTCTTGTCACTTTGCAAAGAGAAGCCTCCATCTCATGCACCCAGAACCTCACTATGGCTCAACTAAAGTATGTGTAACTAGGATGGTCCTACCTAAAGTAGGATGAAACCAGCCAGGTCACCTCACAAAATGACAATTTTAAACACTGGGCTCTGGACAACCTCTTTGGGTTAAGATACTCCATCCTGTGGGGGTGCTTCATGCCTTTTGCTGGCTACACCTATTTTGGCTAAAGGTGAACTGCAGCATGAAATATGAGCTAATTTGGCCCCATTTGGGATCTTCTGAGTTCAGATAGACTGTAGAACTGGGTGAAGATAATTTTTATTTAACTTCATTAAGTCTTCCTTCTTTTCTAACAAACACTACACCCCCTGAGAGATAGTCCTGTGAGAACAATGGAAAGAAAGATTCCACACAAAAGATTGCATCTTATTTCATCTAGGGAAAAAAATTCATTGCAAAAGCCCATGCTTTATTAGCTATCTCTTTTAGATTCACAATGATTAAGATGTGTACAAAGTAAACTGTGAAATGCCAATCTATTACAAAGTATACCCTCACAGCATTTTGACAATTCTCAGTAATGAGAAAAAACTGGGTGATTATTCTCATTTAACCCTCTCTTGATCTTTGTCTCAGTTGCATATTTTACATGATTGTTGTAAGAAGCAGAAAAAAAAATATCAGCATTAACTTTAAAAACATCAATGTCATGAATTCAGGTAAAAGGAATAGCTCTTGGATGCAAGTTCATATTTTGTATGCTCTGGGCCTATTTTCAGAAACACAGGAAAAATATATTTTATTTGAAGTCCCTAAAATTATTGAAGACTAGAACTCCATATTCAGTTTCTACTTTGGTTATTTTGCACATTCCTATCAGATTTTAACATTTGTGTTATTAAACAGGTATATATTCTGGATTATAATACAAGTATCATGCTGGGCAATAATAATTGATGTACAGTTTAGTCTTATCCTTTTAAGGAGCCTAATGATTATTTCTCTTCTATCCCTCTCTCTCCTCCCACACATCCCCACTCTCTCTATCGCTTTCTGTTAAGGGGACAAAATGTTTCTCAAATGCAGTCAAATACACAGTACTTAGAACATTGGAATGCAGTTTCATTAATGAGGATTAATTCCTCCCACAGAGGAAATGATGTGCTGTCATGACATTTCTTTCATATTTCTTTCTACCCAAATTGTTCCAACTCTAAAAAAAATGGTTATTTTGTCTGTCCTAGACATTTACAGAAAAAATGGCACTCTGCCTTTCCCCTATATATACATAGAAAAAGAAAACTATTTCAAGTCACAGTACTGTTAAAAGTCTAATTTTTGTAGGATATTTATAATATGTAAGTTCTGTGTGGAACAAGTATAATTGCTTTGTGAAGAAATTTGGTTACATTTCTTTTTCTTTGAAACCTGCAAAAACAAAGTGTCTGTTAGTTGGTTAATGGCCTAATATAAAACTACAATCAAACCATCCTGTCAATTTGGTAGTTAATTAGATTCACATTTGAATAGAATAGGGACTTATTTTTTTTTAAGTCTGGAAGAGAGCAACCCCTTAAAAAGAAAAAGTGAAAAGTAAGATAAAAATGAACCCTGTTATGAGAACATAAAATACCTGAATGTTCTTAAAAAATAAAACAAAAATTCCTATTCAGTAAAACAGAGTGCATTTAAAGTGGTGTAGGAGGAATTATATCTGTGATCAAAGTACACTGAAAAAAAGGTGAGTAGGAGCAGGTGGATTTTATGGAAAAAATTTTGCAATTGACTCACTAATACAGTTTTTAGGACAAGATTTGAAAGCAAATTATACTACATAAATGAAGAAAAACCAAAATCCAAGAAAAGTAAAAAAGTGAGGGTTTTGCCATGATGCAATTTATTAGTCTGTTTTTTATTGTTTGTAATTTATTTTATATGGTGCTGGGGAATAGAACTCAGGACCACACACATGCTAGGTAAGAGCTCTACCACTGAGCTACAACCCAAGTCAAATATATATTAATTTTGTGTGATGAACAGAAATACATATATGTAATAAGTGCAGCATTCAATAGTTATTTTAGTTTGGGAGTGTATGTGAAGATGTTTGTGCCTTAGGTGAGATAATTACCTAAAATAATTACCAAAGCTATGCAACTACATAACCACATTTCCACAGTCAGAAGCTCCAAATACAGAAGCTATGACTAGAGATAGATTGCAAGGTACTTAAAGTTAGGCCCCATGTTTTTCATTTCACTTATGCAATCACCAGATCATCTTATGCTGACTGTGCTCAAGGAGCACAAGATAAATCATGACAATGTATGAATCGACCATCTCTACATATCTGAGCACAGATAGTCATTTTTCCTAATTCATCACTCAGTTCTGTGGAAGATTTCTTATTTACCTACCAGGACACCTACACCTGTCATGCCAAAGCCAGCCTCTCACTATTAAAACCACCGTAAACACAGCAAGACATACTGTGCAGAGAAATCGTGCACTGCTAAGATGAAGACATAATGAGAACAAGTAATGAGCAGAATAACAATTTGCTAACAGAAGACAAATTTTCTTCCCTTGGAAGCAATGCCTACAGAGAATATCAACAAGAAAACACAATACTTCACACTGCTTCTCTGGGATATATTTTCTTATCAAACAAAGCATTGCTTATCATGATGAAAAGGAAAATGGATCCATGGCTAATGCTGATAAGTTAACAGATATAATGTGGTGCAGTAAACATCCATTTATCATTCTGCTGCTAAGAAACAAAAGGAAATAAAATAACAAAGAAATGTAAAAGCAAAGCTATATTCCTTACATATGAAATGAATAAAGTAAAGCAATAATTGACAGCCAACTAAGAAGTAAAATATTTAAAGTCAAATTTAAAATTAAAATCAAAATTCTTTCATTTTGAAGCAGAAGGAGGATAGATTAAGATACTATTTCTTTCTTGAATTAAAGTGCCTATCATTTATGTAAATCTCAGAAACAGCAACTATCCCCCACCAAGAAAGACAAATGAGGCAATATTGTGTTCTATTAAATATCATATTGAAAACCTAAGCCATGGTTGGAAATTCTCATTACCCAAGCAAGATTTTCCCAAGTAATCATAATAGCCCTGTATTTGCTAAATAATATAGGCACCCTCCTATAGCTTATTGATATTTTTTGCTTGTTGAGTTGTTAGAGTCCGTAAACAATTCAAGATGGCGCCTGGCATTTTGCCAGAGGGAGTGGTTTGTGAAGTAACGCCCGCGAGCCATTAAGTGTGGAGATTCCTTATTGGTTGACTGCTGTATCTTGTTTATGTTAATTAAGATAAGCTGTGTGGAATGTATATATACCCCTCCTGTCCTATAATAAACGGCTCCCACTCCTGCTGAATCAATGTACACAAGTTGCTCGTCACCCACCGGTTAGTTTGCTGCAGCCGGACTGCGGCATTGAGTTTTTAAAGTAATCTACCATTCTCTTAAAATGAAATAATATTAAAAATATTATCAATAGTGCTGTAAGTCTATAGACTATGAAAATAAAACAAAATAAATTTAAATGACAATAGGCATACATTTAATTATTCTACTATGAAATACAAAACAAGCAATACCTAACTGATGTGCCTAAGAATTAAACAGTTATATTGACAGTCATGTCATTATTGGAAAAAAAAAACAGAAAGCTCACCAGCATTTTACTAACTTTCATCAACATAATCAGTATACATAATTCCCATTAACATACCAGTTGGGTATATTATGTAATTTGTTGGTATCCATTATAAAAATTGTCACATATTTATCAATTATACTCTTATGAGGCTTCAATATACTAAATTCTCATTCAAATGTCTTCAATCAAGTTTTAGGAGTAAGAGAGTATAATTCTTTAATAGAAATAACATGCATATTTTAAAAAATATGAATATCATTTATATCTTGCCATTTGAGACTGTTTATTTGTTTCAATATAGTTGCAAAATAGTTAATGTATTTAAGTTTACTAAACCTCACTTTCCTATCATGAAGTGAAAAATGGAAATAGACTCCATATAACACATACATATATTTAGCACAAGTCCAGGCACATAGTAAGCACACAAGTAAGATGGCTTTATTTGTTAACCACCAATCATGGAAAAATACATTAAGTCAATATTATATGGATCCCTGAAGCCTTTCCTTTTTAATGTGACTAGCATCTTACTTATACAATAAGTCTTCCTTTATATGGGATCTTAAATACATTTTTGGTTAATGTTTTCTTATTAAGCATATTTAAAAACTATTTAATTTTAATTCAACTATCTTATTCCCACACTGTATACACTTTAAAAATAGAAAGTCTTACCAAAACCAAGAATAAAATCACTAATTAAAGTATTCACCCACAAAAAATTCTGAAACAGAAACATATCTACATGTAGGAAGGTTGTGTGGAAAACACTAGAATCAGTCGTTTTATACATGTCAGATTCATATGAAGCTTCACTTGAAAGTTATATACAAAAGTTCTTAAAATCCATGGCTTATTATTAATAAGATAAACAAAAGACGATCTGAGATTATTTTTAGTACCCTCCCATAGTTTTCACCACACTTTCCTTCTAAAATGTGTATAACAACAAGTATAAGTGAGGTATAAAGGAGAGAGATGTGGTTTTAAACAAGGGAGTGCTATTCTGGTTCGAGATTATTTTTAGTACCCTCCCATAGTTTTCACCACACTTTCCTTCTAAAATGTGTATAACAACAAGTATAAGTGAGGTATAAAGGAGAGAGATGTGGTTTTAAACAAGGGAGTGCTATTCTGGTTCAGTCAGCATTTTTGCTGCTGTGACCAAAAAACCTGACAAGAACAATTAGAGAAGAAAAAGTTTATTTGGTGACTCACAGTTTCAGAGGTCTCAGTCCTTACATGGCTAACTCCATTCCTTGGGGATTAGGTGAGATAAGACATCTTGGCAGAAGAGTGTGGCAGAGGAATGTAGCTGGCAACATGGCACCAAGAAGAAGAGAGAGACTTCACTTGCAAGATACCAAATATATAACCTAAAAGCATGCCCCCTGTGACCCACCTAGCCACACCCTACCTGGCTTCAGTTACCACTCAGTTAATCCTTATCATGGGATTAATTCACTGATTAAATTAAGGCTTTCACAACCCAATCATTTTACCTCTAATCCTCTTGTATTGTCTCACACATAAGCTTTGGGGAGACCCTTTATCTAAACCATAACAATTTTCAAAAGTAGAAAATCTATCCATGTAACCAAAAGAGAAAAAAAAGAAAACTTTGGGCTGGGGCTGTAGCTCAGTGGCAGAGCACTTGCCTAGAATGTGTGAGGCCCTGGGTTCAATTTTTAGCACCACATAAAAATAAACTAATAAAATAAAGGCATGCTGTACATTTACAATTTTTTTAAAAAAGGAAAACTTCCATAAATGTAGCTATTTTGTATTTCAAAATAAAAGACTCATTTGAAGTGAATGGCTGTAATAATTCAGTCTTAATGTCAAGCAAGATTTTGTGCTATGAAAAACAAATTGATGATTACAATGTGGATGTGGTGTTCACTCTATGCCACACAATTTTTTAGTATACCTCACTATTCTAACATGATTGAACTATCCTATCAAGATTGAACTCTCCCTTAACTTACCTTGATTCAAAAAGCTTGCAATCTATTTGTTTTCCTGTCTTGTATATCCTTCATATATCAGTTCATCCTCTTTTTAATTTTTCATTTATTTCTTCCTATAAAGTACAATAACAAATCATCAATGAATGCTGGCAAAGTTTGGTTATTTCGCAATCTTAAAAATCTAGAGCATACTAATATCAAATTTAATGTTATCAAAATTATTTGTCTCATCATTTTTTAAAATTGAGATAAATAAACTTTTTTAGTTTTCTTTTTCTCTCTGACCAAAACACCTGACAAGAAAAACTAAGAGGAGGGAAAATTTATTAGGGGCTCAGTTTCAGATGTTTAATCCATAGATGGCCAACACCAGGCTCTTAGCCTAAGGTAAAGCAATACGTTATGTGGAAAGGCCCAACAGAGGAAAGTTGCTCAGCATATAGCATTGTCAGGAAGCAGTGGGATGGGACCTGGAGAAGATACACCATTCCAGGGACTATCCCCACTGACCCACCTCCTCCAACCTTGCCCCACGTGCCTACAGTTACTACATAGTCATTCAAACTAGGATAGACTGGGTTAGAGCTCTCATAATCTTATTACTTTATCTCAGAACATTTCTAGATTAATACAGTAGCTATTGTGGGGACACCTCAAATCCAAACCATAATATTATACCCCTAGCCCCCAAAACACATGCCCATCTCTAAGAGTCCTGTAGTCTCAATGGTTTCAGCATTACTTAAAAGTTCAAATTTGAAGTCTCCCCTGAGACCCATGGCAAACTCTTGGCTCTGAGACCCTATAAAAATCAAAATCAAGTTACATATATCCAATGTAAAGTGGCATAAACATTCCCATCCCAAAATGAAATAATACAGTCATAGAAACAAGGATTGGGGCAAAAACAAGACCAAAACCTATCCAGACAAATAGATCCTGAACTCTGCCTGCAACTCATATACAGTATTTAGGACACATTACTTCCAAAGGAATTGGGCAGCTCTGCCCCTTTGGTCTTGTCCTTTGCGGCACAAGGTATGCTCTCTTAGCAGACAGTCCATGTTACTAGCATCTCCATGTTACTGGTGACTGCATTCCACTTTTGACTTTACCTCCACAGTTTAATGCATCACCTTCTAAAGGGAAGCCCACAGATATTCCAATCTTAATACAGTTTTCCTGGGCTCCCAGGCTTTCTTTTGAAATCTCAGTGGAAGCCTCCATGACCCCTCAATTATAGCATGCTGCATTTCTGCAGAACCAGCACAATGTGGATGATGCCAAGGTTTGTCACCAACTCATACAATACTTTGGTTCCCTGGTATTATGGCTGCAGTGGCCTCTGAGTGACTGTGTGACTCAGCGTGGTAAAATGACTTTAAGCCCCCTTGTGCAAGCATGGGGTCCCAACAATCTCTTCTCAAAGAAATTTTTCCTTCCAGACCCTTAAGTCTACAATGAGGGTGGTCTTGAAAATTCTTAGCATGCCCTCAAGATTTGTTTCCTATTGACTCTGTGCAAAGTACTTAGCATCACTTGAGAGACTATAATTTCTTCAACAAGTAAAACTTCCTTGGCTCCAGCTTTACATACACTTTATTGACCAAACTGCAAGTTTTTAAAATCCTTCAGTTCTGCTTTCTGCACCTGATTCACACAGTAAACCTGACTAAAAACTTCCAGAAATATCCATGCCACTCCCTGAATGCTGTGATACCTTGAAATTTCCTCCAACAGATTAATTAGTCCATCACCTTAAACCAGAATATAACATTAGTTGTCTCTACTCCAGTTCCTAATAGAGTCCTCACTTCCCTCTGAAACCTCATGAGTAAAGTCCACATTCCTATTAATATTCTTGTCTTATGAACTTCCACCAGAATTGCCCATTAAGCTCTGTTTATATCCTATTTTTTTTTCAAGTCTGCATATCCAAACTTATCAAAATCCCTTCTGCCATCCAGCTCCAAAGGCTTCTGAACCACATGATTAGGTAAGTCACAGCAACAATGCTATTTTTGGGGTTTTTTTATGTAGTTTTTCACTGCTATTACAAAAATATCTGACAAGAACAACTTAGAGGAGAAAAAATTTATTTGGGGCTCACAGTTTCAGAAGTTTCAGTCCATAGATGACCAACTCCATTGCTCTAGGATCAAGGTGAAAAAGAACATTGAGGACAAATGGCTCAGAAGAGGAAAGCTGCTCAGCTCCTAGTAGTATTGGGAAGCAGAAAGAGAAAGTGAGGGGAAGTGGCCACAGGAAATATGTTCCCTTCCAAGGCATACTCCCCCTAAATCACCTTCTCTAACCATGCCCCACTTGCCTACATTTACCACATAGTCATTCAAACCATGATGAACTGTTAGCTTTTATAATTCAACCGCTTTACTTCTGAACATTCCTACATTAACACAGGAGCTTTTCAGGGAGACACCTCACACAAAACATAACAGTAACATAAAATTTACTCTATTGAAGCATACTCATCAGTGATTGGTGTTCAGTGTATTCATAAGGTCGTGCAGCCATCATCATTGTAGGTCCCAAAACATTTTCATCATCACTAAAAGAAATTGCATACCAATTAGTGATCTCTACCATTTTTTTTCTTTTTTCCTAGCCCCTGGCAAATGTTCTGTCTTACTTTCTGTCTCTATGAATTCGCTCATTCTGGGCATTTTTATATAAATGGGATTTCACAGTATGTTACCATCAAAATTTAATCACAAAATTTAAAGACAGAACATTTGCAAACCCTTGAGAATATGACAGCAGAATTTAATTAAAGAAATACTTATAGCTATATTTATATAATAATACTGGTAGGAGAGAATTGTAGTGGAGGAAAAAACACAAAAAATGTTGGAAATACAATGTTTACTAAGATTTTACTTAAATATATTCAATTTCCACCTCTTACTTAATCAAAATGACTATGGAAAAAGCCTGGCCATTTGTGTTTTTACAAAGCTTTCTGAGAATTATGATGTTTGACCAGATTTGCTTAAGGTTATAGTCTGATTCATTTCTAATATAGGCCATTTTTAGCAGCTTATTTATTCAGTGACCAAACACAAATAGGTAAGCCATTCAATTTTGCAATTTTTTAAAAAAATGCATAATATAAAATTCAAATAACAACCACATCTCATGTTAATGTTTCATAATGTTTTAACCTGCTTATTTAATGATTTATTGCTTAATTATGTTTTAGACATCTACAAATGTGCATAATTTAAAGTTTTTGAAATGAGATTAAATGCATATTTATTTCATTTTTTTGTACTTGCTTTCGTTTTGCATAAGCAATGCTACATTTACTCCTGCAAATCAATGCAAACAGAGAAATTATGCTCTTGCAAATTGTTTCATACATACTTATAAATAGACTCTTATCTACGAGAAAAATATTTGATAGTTCAAATGTCATGAACACTTCATATATAATATTAATTTATAATAAGTTGCTGAATATTGAAATAACTGAAGATATGATAAAGACCAACACAATTTCATTTACACTTAGTATTTCCAATATACCAGTAAGTACACTTTATTTCGTTCCACGTTTCCTTCACAATTATTTTGTCACTTCTAACTGCTTCAAACTTGTCTCAATAATTAAATGCTGTGAATTAAATCACATATATACAGATATATTTAATCAATCACTTTATAACATTGCATAAACAATGCTACATTTATTCCTATAAATCATCTTTTATGCAACACCTCTTATGCAAACTATGTTAAATTGAGATGCCAGAAGGTTATACTTGAGCACAACCTTTATTGTTAAAATAAAAGCACCTATATTAAACTACTTAAAAAACTGTAAAATCACAATGTTACTACCTTTCTTACCCACAATCAGAGATCACACAGGTGATTTTTAAAGGAGAGGGCAATTTAAAATATATGCACTGTTGGAAATATCACAGTGAATCTTATTTGTCTGTACAATAAAAATAAATAAATGGGATGGCAAGAAATCAATGTAAGTAGTGATTATATCGAGGCAAGGAGTAAAAATAGAAAGAGAAAATTAAGAGTTTTGAAGCACTTAACTACATTGAGATTGAGTTTTATTTGGAATACAATTTTTAAAAAAGTTTTATTTTAGCAGCTGGCCCTATTAACCTAATATATCCAGGAACATCTACCTTCCCTACCTTCTCACCACCTCTCTAGTACTTTTGCAAGAAAAATATATTGACTCAAGACAGTTGTTTGTGAAATATCTTGCTCCTTTCCCCAAACTTTTTTGTGTGTCCTTATTCTTCTCAACTGTTTCCTCTTTCTAGCTATAATATTATGAATTCTTTACATGTTTCCCTCATGTTAATTTTTGGGCAGTCTTTGTGACTGAGGGTAAATGGAATTACAATTCATTGAGGAAATCCTAAAGTTTCATCCAGATTTAAGAAAAAAAATATATTTTTTCACTGATTCATTTTAGTTTCAGAGGTAATTTGCTTGCTTCCCACCTCACCTCCCTCTTCCTACTAATCTTTCATCAATTCTGGCTTTTCAGTTTTTAGTTATAGGTTTCTTTGTGTCAAGGTTTCTTTTAAGAAGGTAATATTTTTAAGAAGGCAATTGTAAATATTAGCAGGTCCTTTGGTCTAACCTTTTTATAAGGTAAAGAATACTTTTTACTGAAATAGATCCATAGCCTTCTGGCTTAATCATTTTTACAATTTTGAGTTCTCATATCAGATTTCATATCATAAATTACATTTACTCTTAGAATTTTTCTTTCTTCTTCCTTCTCTCAGACTGTCTCTTGCTTGCTTGCTTTTGCTCAGCATTCTCTTGATCTTCCCAATAGTGTTTTCTTTTCAAAGTGTTAATTACCCATTTTTGGACTTCAGTCTCAAGGTATACATAATAAAATGTCTCCATTTTTCCTGAGGTTAAAATCCACACATGTACCTATAGCATATACCAAGTAAGTCTACTTTTTGATTCCAAATACGCATACTTAAAACACAATAAAACTTTCATTGTGGTGTCCAGTTGTATTAATATAACATCAGATTTACTGAAAGAAAATGTATCTTCTGGGGCTAGGTGGCTTTGTTTCTTAATAATACTGTTGTTTTATATTTAAGTCTAAATTACGATATGATTAAGTATTATGGGAGTTTATCCTAAGTTATGCTAACTCATGTATGACAATAATGTTCAATCTAGAATAATAAAAGTGTGCATTCAGATAATACACATGACCCACTTTTAAAGACTGCATTTTAATTGTCAGTAGGGAGATAAATTTATAGCTGCAACTATAAACATGGCTCTTGTTCTGGATACCATTTTTTCTTTGCCACTTACTCTGACACATGGAAGATTTCAGTTATCTCTCTTCTCTCCTTAGGAATTTAATCACTAGTTGCATAACACATCTCATTCTCATTCCAAGAAGGTGAAAGAATTACTCTATATAGTAATCTTGCCCTCCTTTCCCCTAGCTGTTGATTGCTTACTTTTTGATGTTATACTACAGAAATAGAAAGTGATTTAAGTTTACTTTTCTCCTTTGGAGTCACGATGAATAATCATAAGGATGAGCCAATATGTTTTAAAAAAGATAATAACTCTGTTGTGTTCATTTTCTCAAAACAGATGCCCCCTAGAAGGCATATTTCATTTTTGAGACTTTAAAAATATTACCCAGCATGGGATTGGATGGATGTATAATTTATAAGTCACAAACTGTGTGATATCACAATAAACTCAAAACTTACAAATTCAGAATAAACTGTTAATATTTATAAGATGCCACAGTGCCTCTTACCTAGATTAATGTACACTGAAACTACATTTTTTCTAAAGTTGAAGCATAATTTATTCTATAAAGGAATAAGAACAAAAATAATGATCTCAAAGTAATAGGAGAATAATATTAGTTTGGATGTATTGTAAGTATATATGTAGCTACTAATACTAAGCATGGTAAAACATTAACAAAATCATTTGCATAAAAATGAGATGAAATTTAAAAGAGAGAAGAAAGTTCAGCTCTATTATTTATAAATTGGTAATTCATCAAGAAAATGCTGCTAAACATTGCTTAGATTGCTACAATTTAAAAAAAAAAATTTGGAGGGTACAGCATGAGCCAATCTTGGCAGGTTAGTCTTTATAAAATATTTCCTTCTGAACTTAGAATAGGATACTATTCTTCAATAAAAAATGTCTCTATCAATAAATTCTGTTCTACTTTTCTGTCAAATATTCATTCAGATTCTCTTCCCTCTGGAAAATCTGCTTAGAGATAAGGTAGTTGATTGAGTGAAGAGGTCTGAAGTCAAAAGAACCATAAATTGAGGCAGGCCATCTCATACAAAAAAACACGAACATCAAAAAATAGCTGTAGATTCATTCCTCACCTCTGTCAGTAACTACATCACCTCAGATAAGTCTGAGTCTTAGACAAGTTTATCCACTTATATAAAGAAAGTTATAAAATGTAACAAGGGCTTTCTATGAGGAATATCTCTGTATGAGTGTGTGTATATTCCATATATATATCCATGCCACTCACTGAATGCTGTGATACCTTGAAATTTCCTCCACCAGATTAAAAAAAATTCAGCCAGAATATAACATCAGCTGTCTCTAGTCATATATAGATATTCTATATTCATTTTATTTTATTTATATAATCTTTATATAGTGATAATTTAATCATACTTATTCAGAGATTCTTGTTTTACATCTCTTGTTCCCATATAATTAATAGAACTTCTTTCTATCTCAAAATGCCTAGGGAAGATAGTATGTTTTCTGTATTTATACAAAATCTATTATGCAGTCAATAGTAACATCTCGCAACAAGATCAGGAAATGAAACATTTTTAGATATTTTAATGAATCAAACCAAATGAAATGTCCAGTTTAGTTACATGGTAAAAAGAGGAAAACTTCACAGAAAAATATGATTATGCTATATAATCTAGAGATATCTGACTTAGGAATCATTATTAGAAATAATAAAAATAACTCCAAACACTAAGCAAATGAAAGGAAAGCACATCACAGTGATTATTTATGCCTCATAAATTTATGCTTCATGAATTCAAGTTTTAAAATCAAATTAAATTAATATTGTGGTATAATAAATATTAGATATTATGTTTGGCAACCCAGTACTTTGAAAGGTTAATCCACAGATGGAATAATAAAATAATAGAATATCATTAGAAATAGAGAGTATGAATATTTGAATATAGGAGGAAAAAAAGTAAGGGATGTGATAAGGTAGGAAGAGATCAGGCCAGAAAAAGATAAACTGGATCATCTAAAACCTTGTAGGCCATTCTGAATGCAGGCCTTAACAATGCTCAAGACCATAGATGTCCCTAGAATGTTAATGGTGATGACAGCAACAACAACATCAGTGAGTATTGAAAGCTCTGGAATACTTTGTTAGATACAATAATAAACCTTAACAAGTATGAAGTTGTTTAATCTTCATACACTCTGGAGGTTAGATACTGTCACTAGCCTACCTGTTTACAGACAAGGAAACTGATAAATTTAGAGGAGAAGTAACTT